GGTCGTCGACGTGTAGGTTCGGCTTCTCCATTGACTCATCCGGAAAAACCCGGGATAACCATGATGGGCGGGCGATATGACGAGTGTACCGGCCTACATCATCGTGTCCGAATCGTAGACCAGTGATTAAGCAGAACTCCTTCCGCCCAAAACAAGTATACGCTGGTGGAAAATGAAACCATATCTCTTCCTCACCACGTTGTATACTGTCGGGTAGATTTGATGTCATGGTCTGAAGCCACAAATGGGTCAAATTAGCATCTCCACCCGGATGCTGTACTCTCAGCCATGGCCCGAAGCAGGTTTCCTCAAATAATTGTCTTTGTGCAGGTGAAAGCTTCGAAGCAATTGTAGTGGCTAGGCTGACTTTATTCCTTAATGTCAATGAAGCCGAAAAAAATTTCTACAAAAACAATAAACATACCAAGTTAGATATACCAAAAACTACACTGTGAAGATATACCAAAAACAATAAACATAAAAAGTAGTAGTTTATTCTTGAAACTAAAATTTGCAACACTGTTTTGTCTTTTGGTTGAAATGAAAATCGCAACGAGAGAATGACTGTCGCAACGAGAGAAATGAAAATCGCAACGAGAGAATCGCAACGCGAAATGAAAATCGCAACGAGAGAATCGCAACGCGAAATGAAAATCGCAATGCGATTTTGGTTTCGCGTTGCGATTCTCTCGTTGCGATTTTCATTTTTCTCGTTGCAGATAGTCATTTTCACGTTGCGATTTTCATTTATCTCGTTGCGACTCTTCTGCAAATTGAAACTTGAATGGATTGCATTACTTCAACCAAAAGACAGAACAAAGACAAAGACAAATACTAACTTGAAAATCGCAACGAGAGAATAGCAACGCGAAATGAAAATCGCAACGAGATAATCGTAACGCGAAATGAAATCTAAGTGAAATGGTTAATCTATTATTGAAATGACCAGTAAACTTATCATCAGTTTCAATATGAAAAACCTACAATAATGCAAAAATTTCAAAATAAAAATAATTAAAAAAACTAACCCTCGGAGGTTGATTTTCCATTTCTGAATATTGTGAGGGATTTCTGACCGTGAATGGTTGTGAGGGATTTCGCCGGAGATGGGGACGGAAATCTTCGGAGATGGGGACGGATTTCGCCGTAGAGAGTGAGAGATGGAGATGGGACTGAGTTGTGATTTTAGGTTTTAGGTTATGAGTTGCGATTACGAGATTTTGTCTTAATATTCGTTTTTGTAATTTGAAAATAAAATACGCGTAGCGATTATAATGGCGCTTTAAAAATCGCGTTGCGATTTACGGATACGCGTTGCGATATACGGATACGCATTGCGATTTACGGATACGCGTTGCGATTTACGGATACACGTTGCGATTTACGGATACGCGTTGCGATTTATGTGTTCGCGTTGCGATTTTCATATTCACGTTGCGATTATGGAAAATCGCAATGCGAATATGAAAATCGCATTGCGATTGTCAAGAATCGCGTTGCGATTTTGGAAACTGATTTGCGATTCTGGGGATCGCGTTGCGATTTTTATTTCGCGTTGCGATTTTGTTGGTCATTTTGGCAAATCCAAAAAAAATTGGTTAAAATCGTATATTATAAGGCATTTTTGGTCACTGAGGCGATTTTCTCTTTATAAAATCAATAATAATCGAAGTAAATTCGGATTTCAGGATTGCACGTGCCCATCCCTGAAACAATGAATATGCCTTATACGAACCTCCCAATCTCTTTGAAGCAAGGCTTTTATCACAATGAAAGAGCATTTCCCTGCTGGTTCGCTCTAGGATTCAATATACCGCTGACAGCCTCAATATTATCGGATTCCAACTCGATTTGTCTGTAACCAAGTCTCCAAGCATGTCGGAGAGCATCACAAATTGCCCACAATTCAGCATTCAGAACTGAACACTTACCTAAGCTTCGGGAAGAGCCAAATATCCAATCACTTTGGCTGGAATGAAATACACACCCTATGGCAGCATGATCGTCTGCAATATTAACCGCAACGTCGATATTTACCTTGATCCACCCTTCCTGAGGCCTCCTCCAAGATAAGATGTTTGTGGTTCGATTATCAGTAGGAGAAATACACCCATCCGAGAATCGAGTAGCAGTATGAATCTCCTCCAATACCCTTTACTCAAGTTAACAATATCGTGTATTTCAATGAATTATGGATCAAACAGGATTTTATTCCAACTGTTCCATAACATCCAACAGATATTGGGAAAGTGAGCTGACCAATTATCATGATTATCCACAAAATGATTTGGCCGTTGAATATTCTGACGGACCCAATCCACGATCGACAAAGAATAGAATTCATGAATAGTGTCTCGGCGTATCAAAGCATTCCAACAATTTCGAGCTTTCAAGCAATCTCGTAAAACATGCAAAATATCTTCCGAATAGAGATTGCACACGCCACACTTGGTGTTGGAAGTCATATGACGACGAGCTTTATTCACATCCGTGAGGAGACTACCTCTCAAAGCAAGCCACGTAAAAACACGAGAAATACGATTCAACTATTAAAAATATTTTATCAACCATTCAAAACGAGAAGTTATTAGATTGACTTAGTTCATCACGTTATTTATAATTTCAGTTGATAAGATTCATTCATTACAAAATATCTTTTAAATAATCATTTCTTATTTATATGTATAAAAAATATAAAGATTCACTTTTAAAAAAATATATAGATTTTATTGTTTGAGATCATCTGATGAATTGAGTTTATTTAATAATTTTTCATTCAAAACATATCACGTGACATGTTTATAAATTTTTATTTAAAAAAATTAAAATTAAAATTATTTAAAAAATTTATTTTTAAATCTAAAAAAATTGAAATCTCTTATCTCAAAGCACCAACCCCATCGTTGTCGTTCTCATCCACCGTCTACCTGTTTATCATTGGACTTCCGATGTCAATCATATCTTTATAATCATCTTACTCCATATATCCCCAAATCTCTAAATTCGATACTAAATCCATAAATTAAAAAAATCAAAATCCTAAATCACAATCGAATTACCTTCCTAAGTCTCGCCAAGCCAATGTTGGTGTGCTTACCGCTTTGTTAGGCGATCGTCGATCGTAATGATGACTGTTAGCGGAATGACTTTTGAGGTTAGAATATTCTTTTTATAGATAAATTGAATTTTATTACCTAAAGAAGTAGAGAGTCTGCTACAAATCAAATAAAAGTGTATAGTTACAATCCGATCTAATAATATACCGAAAATCAATCCAAAAAACGAATATTGAAAAACTGGATCCGATAAAAACTTAAACTGAGCCGATAGATGACGTGCCCACGCCATAACTGAATATTTCTTCTGCGAAAGATGTGGGTGAATAAGTTCTCACGCCTTAAGTAGAGAATATTTTAGGTTATTTCAGGATTTTATGAATTTAGAGTTTTTTTATGAAAAATAAAAATATTTTTTTTGAAAATTTATTAATTTCAAATTTTTATAAAAATAATTAAAATTAAGTCTCATGCCAAATATTAATTAATTGACTGATTTTTAATAAATTTTTTAACGAATGTAATATACTAGACACCTAAAATAATGTTAGAAATATTAGCATATTTTTAACTAAAAAATTATTTAAACACCTATGCAATAAAAAGTATATGATGCCAAAATATTTATTTTAGTAAATGTTAGGAAGTAATTTTTACATTATACCTTTTTGAAAAAAGCCTTCTTTTTAATTTTCCCCATTTTTATTGGGTTAATCCATTTATTAATAAATAATCTGAACTTAAAATTTAAAAGCATATTTTTTTCTTCATTTTTTACCAGTCAATTCTGTCGTCTGTCTGTCTGTCACTCTTTTATTTACTTTTCTTGTGCTTTCGTCGTTAACAAACACCTGAAATACTATTATTGTTTATTTTGATTTTACTTTTATCTCGATAAACAGTTTAGCTTATTTCATCTGATTTTTGGTTTTCACCCATTTTAGATTTTGCAACCTTTATTTTCTTTACAGTTGGATTCTTCTTCTTCTTTTTGGCAGCTGATTCATCCTCTGATAACTTTCATATCAATGTAGCAGTGTTCTTCTAATCTTCTCCTAAATTAGAGATTTCGTTTCAAATTTTGGGGGTTTCACTATCAAACTATGAAGTTAAGGAAGCTGAATTATTTCTAATAATCATAAGATCCTCTTTCTACTTTTTCTGCGCTTACATTGAAATCTCCATTTCTTTTCTTTAGATTTTTAGCATTATTCTTCATAGTACTCCTCTCTCTTTCTTATTCTTTTGGTCAAAAGCTTTAAAAAGATTTGGTACTTTCCCCCCTGCTGATTAGTAAAGAAAGCTACCTCATTTCTTTGAGTTGATTTATTGAAGGCTACACTGGGTTGGTACAGACCTGAGTATGAACTGAATATGGCTTTAGATTAAGCTCTTTGGGGTGTAGGACATTATTAAAGAAGGTCCATTTTTTTTTTTGTATGCTTGAGAATGGATCATGTAATTGGTGGCCAGTTCAAGCTTGGAAGAAAGATTGGCAGTGGCTCTTTGGAGAGCTTTATTTAGGTATGAAAATCCAAATCTCATACATGGATTTCTCTTTCTTCTTATGGAAAAAAATCTATTATACCTTCCTCAGAAATGTACCTTTTCTATTCTAATTTGTTGTTTTTGTTGAAGGGGTGAATGCTCAAACTGGAGAGGAAGTTGCTGTCAAACTGGTATGTGACATTTTTTGATGATTTGCTTTTTGATAGTCTAATTTTTTGGTTTGCTGCTGATGGATTGGTTCCTGTTGTGACTGTCAATTAGTAATGGTGATTTTTTCTGTAGTTGAATGCCTATAAATAAAGCTATCTTTAGAATAAATTGCCAATTAGTCTGGCCAAAGCATGTTGCCTTAGCGTCTCTCTCTCTCTCTCTCTCTCTCTCAAGTTTCTTTCTTTCTTTATTTTCTCCTTTGTATCTATTTATGTAGTGTTATCTATGCGGTAAACGCGTAATGAGTCTTCGGTTCTATCCAAACTAGGCCAAAGTGCTTTTGTTTGTGAAACAACTCACCAATTTCTTTGCTGCAGAGAAAATAAGAACCTAACCGGCACAGCGCGTTATGCAAGTGTGAACACTCACCTTGGAATTGGTACGTAATGTTACTTTATGACAACTAGCAACAGTATATTCTTAGATGCAAATGCAACTATGCGAGCTTACTTGATTCTTCTATTGACAGAGCAAAGTCGAAGAGATGATTTGGAATCCCTTGGTTATGTGCTTATGTATTTACTGAGAGCCGAGAGGAAGGTTGTGCATATCGTGGCCACATGCTCAGTTCATTTAGTGTTTTCTGCATTCCGGATAATGTTTGATTGTTGTTATTGGATCTTCTTTCTTAGTTCTTCACATTGATTTTGATTCAATTTGTTCAATTTCATTGCATCAGCCTTCCCTGGCAGGGGCTAAAAGCTGGTACCAAAAAGCAAAAATATGATAAGATTAGTGAAAAGGTGTCCACTCCTGTAGAGGTATGATCGCTTATGCCTTAGACGGTTTGTTCCCTCTGAGAGATCCGGTTCGTCTTTGGTCTGAAATATTCATGTGTGTTTAACAGGTGTTTTGTAAGTCGTATCCATCTGAGTTTGTGTCTTATTTTCACTACTGCCGATCTTTGCGGTTTGAAGATAAACCAGATTATTCATATTTGAAGGGGCTTTTCCGGGACTTGTTTATAAGAGAAGGTTAGTTATCATCATTGCGGATGCCTTAATAATGCTCGTCGTACAATATTCCGATGTCCGTCACTCTCTCACACATACATGTTCTTGCACATACAAACACACAGGAATTTACCAAATTAATTTCTCCTCAAATGCCAACTCAAATGTTGTTTTAACATTTTCCTTGTATGGTTCTGGAATTTGCATTGCTGCAGGTTGCCAGTTTGACCATGTCTTTGACTGGACCATGTTGAAGTACCCAAAGATTAGTGGCAGCTCGAGAGGGCGGGTAAGTACCGCTTGTAACCTTCTACTAGCTCCTGGTTATTGTTATCTTGGGAATATTTTACTCAGCGTTTTGATCTGTATCTCAGCATTCCGGTGGAAGGGCAGGTTTAACTGCAAGTCCAACCATTGAAAAACCAGAAAGAATCTCAGGTTTGCTCTCAAAACTAGATTCCTCCTTAGAGAGTTGTCACAGCTGAATGTTTTTTTACTAATTATGATGGCATGCGCTTGCCTCTTTGCATTCGATTTCCGGAATGCCTTATGGGTTTATTGTCCTTGATTACAACATACAGTGGGGCGAGAGATTCGAGATAGATTCTCCGGTGCCGTCGAAGCATTTTCCAAAAGAAATATTTCAAGTAATAGTCCTCATCTTGATCATTCTAGACGCAAGACTGTAGATGAAGTCACTTTGCCGAAGCATGCGGTGAACTTGAATTTCCATCAAATTATTTTCTTTTATTATAAACTACACTTTTCTGTACGAAAATCTCTCCAAAAGCGAAATCATACTTGTCAAAAAGGTTTATTAGCTACCAATGCCATTTTTAGATTATGAACAATCTTACCTTTGGTTTGAACTTTCAGCTCCCTGTGTTGGAAAAAAGACGCAGTTCCTCTCGATATGGTAGCACTTCAAGAAGAGCTGTAGTAGCAAGCAGGCCCAGTTCGTCTGTTGAAGCCAATGATGTTCTGCAAAACCGGCTAGCATTGAGTAGTGGCTTCATGTCTACCCCACAAAGAATCCAAATAGCCTTTGAATCCAAAAAATCTAATCGTGCCACCCCTGTTCGAGGAAGCCATGATGATCATCCTCTTCAAAGTTTTGAGCTCCTCTCCATCAGAAAATAATGGGGTTGTATGTCGAATTGTCAACCAATATTTTCTAAGAACTCATAATGTCACTCTGTATATAGGATATTTCACCAGTTCACTGCCTTTAACTTCCCTTGCCCAAACTTCTTTTACCCCATTCACAATACAAACGTAATTCAAGTTTGTCATTGGTTAATTACAAATGCAACAATTGCAGGTGATATGATTTCCTAGAACACCCAGTTTTCAATCTCAATTCGAACAAACATTTCAAGAGTTTATTTGCACATGGCAACAAATGATAGAATAGCATTACACTGCATTAACCAAGGGAGCATGAATGATCATTGTCATATCTACAATGGTGCATTGGTATTAATACTAGAGATAACACCTGGTATTCATGAAGGAAAAATAGAGGTTCTGTTTGTCTTTAGCTCATGGTTCTAAGAGCTGCCAGCCGCTTCTCGAGCTCATCAACACCCGAACTGCAAGTAGGAATAAAATATTAGAAAACAAAGAAATAATTCAATCTCATTCGGTTTTAGGTAACAAATTGAAACATTCTCCATAGTGTCTATTACTTGAGTGAAAATAGAGAGTCGGATATAATAACAAGTATTGTTGTTAAAAGGGTGAAGACGATTGCCAGGGACATCTAATAGAGCCCATAATGAAGTACAGTACAGATTACAGAGCATTAAGTTCAAATCTAAGATGAGGAACCGCATCCGCATATTATACATGGGTCTCTTGCAACTGCAAAAATCAAATGAATTGAAATAAAACCGGGAGACGAGAGAAATACCTGCCAACGCCTTCAGTATTCTTTCCCGCAATCCTTCCTTTAGGAGCTGATGACAACTGCAAGAAATTTATGTGGGAATCAGACGGTTGCACAAAATGTGATATTGGTTCACTTGAAACCCTTACAAGAGGGGAAACCAAAAAATACCAACCTGTGAGGCAACATCGATACCAATTTCATCTAAAACCTGAAATTAAGAAAATCGAGGTTATTTGGGAGGTAAATGAGTCGAACAATTTGACTTCACTATTTTTCACGCCCAAGAAAGCTTAAGCCCACATGATATCCCTTTACTAATATATTGATTTACCCCATCAACCCCACTCCTTACCCTCATGATCCAATCCCTAAACCCTAGTAGCTTTGATTTTTTGGGGAAAAAGGAAAGAACCACACCTGATTTTATATTGATTTACCCCATCAAACCCACTCCTGACCCTCATGATCCAATCCCTAAACCCTAGTAGCTTTGATTTTTGAAAAAAAATGGGAAAGAACCACACCTGATTTGTTAGGTTCTCACTCTCATCTTCCGCCTCATCATCGTCCAGAGCATCATCTATGGCATCTGACATCATTTCAGTCTGCAAGCACGGAAATAAACTGTTAAATCCATGGACATGAACTAAAGGAATGAATAATGAACTTCTCCCACATAGTATATTCTAAAAAATAAGCATGATCTTACGGTCATATCCATCTGAGCAGACTGCTTCTGAAATTCCCGTAAAACCTTTGCTTGTTTTTCTGGAGCCATTTGCTGCAAGGATAATCAGTCATCAGTGGTTTAAAAATCAATGATTATTTTAAAAGGGAAGAGTAGTGGTAATATGTGAATTAATAAAGATGATTATAATATGGAAACATGTATACACAAACTGGTGGTTGTGCATGAATAGATATCAACCAACAGTTTATGCTATAGGAAGCAAGTTCCCTCTGAAGGAAAATAACAATTTGATAAACTATTTACTGAGGATAAGCATGCATAAAATCCGTATCATCATACATGTGATACAACACATATATATATTGTTACTGACCTTATTCATAGCTGACATTGCCTTGGTGGCACCTTTCATGCCAACAGCAACTGAAGATTGAGCATGCATTGCCTGCAAAAACAAACAAGCGTTGTTAGAGGCACCATGCAACAGCAGAAGGAAATAAAAGGCATGAGTGACGTGAACCTGCGTATGAGTTGCAATGCCTCTCATTTGAGCTCGACTACTTTGTAACTTAGCTATCTGCTGCCTAAGTCTTACTAGCTGTCGGGCTAGAGTTTTAGTTGCTGCCTGCACAGTATATATGGGGGAGAAGAAGGATATAAATCAAATATGGGAAGACCCATGAATGCAACCAAATTACAATACTAAAATGACCTCATTTCCGGTTTTGGCCGTTCTTTTGATTTCAGCAACAAGTTTCTTTTCCTGCCATTAGGATAAATCACATTAGAACTAACCATAAAATATCCTTGGAAAAAATGATTAGTATTCACTAGTTAGTAATTCGACAAACCTCTAACTGTAGAGTTCCTATTTCCTTCTCTACACCTGAACCAAAGCAAGATATATTTCGAGTTTTCAGATCAAAGTAACGCTCCAACTCCAAAAATAAAAAACTCTAAAACTAATTCAAGCATAATACCAACGAACTGCAACAGTCCATACTCGAACAAAAAATAAAATCTTCAAATCAACTGATACAGAATTATACTCATAATTGTTTTTTTAATAATAATGAATTACCTCTCGTAGCATGCGCCATTTCTCTCTTACTCTCGCGAAGAGCCTCTGCAATCACGGGAAAAAATATAATTAAAACAAATTAATCGTGAAACCATGATCGTGGAGCTTTGACAAGTCAACGCGAAGGATAACCGAAGAGGGAAGAATTCGCTTTCAAATTGATTGCTATGAAGTGACGAAAATTCAATTAAGATAGATTTCTAGAAACAAAGAAAAAGAATTCCATAAAAACTGGGAGATTAAAAGATCAGAGACAAAAGGAAATTGGTTGTTTGAATGATTAGGGCTCCAAAAAGAAACCAGAATTAAAATTACCTTTGGGATTGGGCTTTTTGCTGAAGATGTTCATTTTCCTTTTGCTGTGTTGATGCTTTCAGATATCTTAACAGCACCGGGTTCCAAAGTTTGAAACAAGAAGAAAAAACACAGAATTCTGGGTGAAAGAAGTCACCTCGAATCTCGTAGGGTTAACGAAGAGTTAAGTGAATCATATCTCTAATCTATGACCCTCCTCTTAAATAAGTATCTAAACTTTCAAATATTCTAATTTTATCCCTAAATTATTCTTATCATTCTAAATTAGTCCTTAAATTTTTGAACATTTCATTTCCATCCCTAACTATGATCTTCATTCCAAATTGGTTCTCAAACTTTCTGAATATTTCAATTTTATCCTAAATTATATGTATATACTAATCACATCCCTTGTTAATAAAACATTAGGCCAAGTTATATCATTATATGTTTGAGAAAAATAAAAATTAGGTTAAACCATGGTTGAAATGGATTACATATTTGGATGAATTTGGCGATGAAATTCGAAGATCTAAAAGTTTAGAGACCAATTTGAAATGAGATTCATAATTTTGGGATGAATTAGAATGTTTAAAAGTTTAAGGATTAATTTAAAGTGAGATACATAGTTTGGGGATGAAATTGAAATTTTTAAGAGTTTAAGGATCAATTTGAAATGAGGGTCATAGTCTGGGGTCATACGATGCAGTTAACTCATTGTGAATTAAATATAGGCTAAACTACATAAAAGGGTCACTGAAGTATGACCAAGTGTTTCTTTTCACTATTAAAATTTTAAAAGTAACAAAACAGTCACATAATTTATCGAAAAGTAATAAAACGATCACGACTAATACACACAGACATCGCTTAATGTATATAAAAGGATGTTTAAGAAACAAAGTGCACCCGAGGCTTTGAAAGCTGGTAATTCTTGTGTAGAAGCTTACTATACGCAATCCTACCCCTGGAAATGGCATCTTCCCATGACCATAACAGTTAAAACTTTAAAGATTATATTTTTGAGAAGGTAACACACTAATTATGAAAGAATAAGACTTTATATACCAAAAAACAAACATAGAAAGTACCTTTGCCAAAAATGAGACGCACAAAAGTTAGTGATCAAGAAAGTTGAAAAAACAAAAAGCACCAAAAGAATCATTCAAAACTCCCAATATTTTTTTATGGATTTGTGGTTTTATTTCGGAACTAATAATGACAGAATGTCCTTTCAACTTTGATGATGATGAAAAAAGAGGGTAGGTTTCCCTACAGATATAATTGCATGTGGCCCATATAGGATGGCATGCCTCATCTGTAAAGAGGGTAATCTCAACTACCCCTATAATCACAAATTAAAGCACCAAGTTAAAGAAAACATATTAAAGTATATTCTGGGTTTCCATTGTTATAGACTTAGGCCTGAATATACATCTAACAAGTTGTGGGGAAAAATAAACTAGATCAGTGAGAATGTGAAATAAAAGCGAAAAAATAATACCTGAAATTGATAATGGAGTTCAGTCAATTTTTCTACGTCTCCGGACTGCTACAGATCTTTTACTAAAGAGAGAAAATTTACAGGTGTGTACAAACACTCACTACTCACAAGAGAACTCTCTAAACTCTTTAGTATTAGGAGAAAGAAATTGATTTTGGGATTTTGGGATGATTTTGAAGCTAAATGAACTATGATATTTATATTTGAAACTTAGAGACTAATCTTTGAAAATACCCTAAAGTTTAATGAATAAAAAAAATTAACCCTTGCTTAAATTCAAAAATATGGGCTGCCTAACTTTGAAATTTAAGGCAGCCCCCCACCTTTGAAATTCAAGCAGCCACCAGCTGCTATTATTTGACCAGCAATCTCTCACTTTAAGACTGATTTTAATCTGTCTTCACACCTTGATCAATTCAACATCATTTCTAGTCTTGTTATTCTAGCATGCCAACTGAAGTTGAACACAACTTCAGTTTTTCTATAGTCACCGTTTTTGTCAACATGTCTGCCGGATTTTGAGCTCCACTAATCTTTTCAAGTTTAAAAATCCCATCTTCCAGAAGAGACCGGATAAAATGATATCTCAATTGTATGTGCTTCGTTTTGGAATGAAAAGACGGATTCTTTGCTAGATGTATAACACTTTGACTATCGCAGTACAAGACATTGTTCTCTTGTTTCTTGCCTAACTCTTCCAAGAAACTTTGGAGCCAAACCTGCTGGCTTCCGTAACAGCGACATATTCTAC